TCCCGGGGCGATGGCCCAAGACCCCTGGGGGCATAGGTTTAGTCCGGCGTGCTGGCCTCTCTATTAAGCCTAGGTCGGGTTGCGACGTATTGTTTGGCCGAGGCTGGGCATGACCCAGGAAAGTGTGTCCGGACGGAGCTAATTGAGCATGGTGGGTAAGTTGGTGCACCCCTGTAGGGAAGAAAACATCTATCGATAGCCTGTCTACGGTAAAGGACGCTCAGAGTTGTATCCCGATCGATACAACTAGAACTAGATACTTGTGATGAGAAATGGATAGTATGGCTCTGGGATTGCTTTCTCGCAGGGGGTCGAGGAAGGATCTCTGGGCGAGGTTGATAACACTACTACTACTTTACATTATGTTGATCTGTACTCTTCTAAATGCTGCAAGATGCTTGAAGATGCTAGTCTTCGATAGGCTAGGCTTTCCCCTTCTCTTCTGGCATTCTGCAGCTTAGTCCACAGATACAACCCATTCCTTTGATACAGATGCATACTTAGTTTAGATCTGATGTAAGTCTTGCGAGTACTTTGGATGGGTACTCACGGTTGCTTTGCTACCTCTTTTTCCCCCATATCCGATTGTTGCGACCAGATGATGGATCCCAGGAGCCAGACAACACCACCGATGACTACTACTACCCTGAGGGTGCCTACTACTACGTGACGGACGCTGACGACCTGGAGTATTTAGGTGGCTCCCAGACAGGAGGCCTTGCCTTTTCGATCGATGTTGCTTTTGTGCTAGCCTTATTAAGGCAGACTTGTTTAACTTATGTCTGTACTCAGATATTGTTGCTTCCGCTGACTCTTGTGTATTCGAACTTATGTATTCGAGCCCTCGAGGCCCCTGTCTTGTAATAGAAAGCTTGTATTATTTTAATTTGTGTCTAGAGTTGTGTTGTGATATCTTCCCGTGAGTCCTTGATCTTGATCGTACACATTTGCGTGTATGATTAGTGTATGATTGAATCGAGGGCGTCACAAGTTGATTAGAGCCGACTGCTTGTAGGATCCCCCTTTCCAACTCCTTGTCCGAAGTTGAGTCTAGTATTTGGAAAACTTTTACTAACTTTGTTGTGTGGCTTACGGGCCCACATCACATTGGGGTGGTATTAGGATCTTTTTTCCTTGTCTTTACTCTGGGAATCTGATCCCTCTTCTATTCGGGTTAAATCATTTTGCTAAACTCTAACTCTAGGTTCTCGTAAATACTTTGTCCCGGAGAGCCCCTTGCTTCAGATGATTGCTTTGTGCACCAGAAGATTCTGAAGATACTCTCTGGTCTTTTCCCGAGACCCTTGTACCCTTCGCCATTGCGATCCCTACCACCGATAAATCCTTATGGGTAACTACCTACATTTTCGTTCATACCTTCATCCCTAGTTACTCTTGTTATTACAAGATGTCCTAAAATACTCTCTACCAAGTGTTTTTGGGCCCTAGGGCCCGATAACACTCCACCACTTGGCCTTTTTAGAACCTATTATTATTAAGTTCAAAGCTATTATTATTAATTTAACATATTCAAAAACATTTTTCACCTATATATCAATTCCTGGTATTACCCAGTAAGCCCCAAAACTCTTTCGATAACCGTGGACGTCCATATTGATCTCTTTGAATACACGAATGATATTCGAGTGAACATTTGATTAGCATGTGATATTCTCTTTGCTTCGTGGCACTTTACAAAACCCGAGGTGAGATATATCAGTATCCTCTTTAAGTCATTCTCATGCTCACTATACCGGTCTCCTCGTTACCTTTTGTTCTTCTTTCTCGTTGACATGTTTCGTCATCCCTGTGACCTAGCCACCTGTGTCTGGAAAGACGATGATGGACGTCGTCACACCGAGAGGGCCCTAAGAATGTATCTTCATCGCCAGAGAAGAAAATCCCACTCTTAAGCTATCTAGCGCCTTGTCAAACTTTCTGATGTACCTGTAAGTTGCCATTATAATCACCATGTTACAGGTGATGTTTGAGAAACCCCAAAGTCCATCATATAGTATGAAGTGACTACGATATTCTCATGGGCTAAGGAATTAAAGCATATGTTAACTCTTTGTGTTATAACAATTGGCTTGTGATGATAGTATCTCAAAGTATAACAAACAAGTTGGGTCAATTCAATATGATTGTTCTTCCAACGTCATATTCTCAAAGTTGTTTTGGGAGCCAGAAAACATGGTCACAAACAACACTTGAGCTAGTCCTAGAGGCAAGACTATGAATCAGGTTTTGTCGTTTATCACTCCACATGTGCATATGAGTTTCCACTGAATCGCATATTCCAGGATCATAGCAGTTATAACATAGAATGTAAACTCTTAATTATAAACGGGGAAGTAAATAATGCAATATTATTGCATCTAGGGCATATTTCCAACACTCCCTTACTATTCGCTCTAGTAGCTTTACTCCCCACTTTAGCTCCACTTGATCGTCCTTTTTGTACGTAGAATCGACCAAGAAAGTTTTTATAATAAGTACCTTGTAATAGGCAGTTTGAACTATTGCTTGGAGACTTTATATTTTGGTAGCATGTTAGCTTGATAGCTTTGCCAGATTTCGCTACAAGTAGTGCCAGTAGGCGCTCGTTTCTAGAACTCAAATTAGTGGTTGAAAGTGCAATCATGCCCTTAATTATATTCTGATGTCGATGAAAATAATATACATACATTACACTAATCATGTTTGTTAAGTATATCACATGTTTTAGTCCCGGTGGAAACATATTTGTGTGGATCATGGCCCCACTTGATTTGATATTGCTCAAGAACGAAGAAACAAATATATGAAACAGAGGCTTTTGGTGTGTTCTTGATGATAGAGATCCCGCACTATTAAGAGAGAATCATCGGGGCTTTTGAAAGATTTGCTCAAACCCACGGTTCCTTGTAAATATTTTCCACTCACATCATACACTTGTGACACACATGGACACATGCATGCAATAGTGCCCTAGGATAGATGTTTACAATATACACTCATAAGGTTGCTTACAAAATATACTGGTTTTCACTGCTTCACCGGATATCCGATACCCACCAGACATCTGATATACCTACACATAACCAAAATCAATAAATATTACCGGACTTCTGGTGACTGCCGGATGTTCGGTGGCACCATACCACCAGATGTCCGATCAGTACCGGATGTCCAGTATACCAATACAGAGCCAAAACCCATGGACTTCTTGTAACCACCGAACATTTGGTACTCCTTGAGCCACCGGATGTCCGTTGGATCTATACATAAGCTTTTAAATTGAATATTACTAAACTTCTGGCATCTACGGGATGTTCGGTGCTCTATGAGTCACCGGATGTCTGGTATGTACCAGATGTCCGCTACATCTCACACTTGGCCATTTGCTCTAGTTTCTTCATGGTGCACTTGCTTCAGCAACCGGGTGTCTGGTACTTGCAGTACACTGATAGTTCCAACAATACTCCCATCCCACTCCGGGAGAGGGTTGACCACTTCATTTGAAAACACCCAAGAACCCTGAAGTGCTCCCTCTCACTCTCCTCTACACCAAATCCTAGATCTCAGAGGCGTTTGTAAGAGTTCTTGAGAGAAACTCCGCTAAGTGATAGATCCACTCCCTTTCCCTCTTTTGACCAAAGAAAATCATGATTTGAGCAAGTCTTGAGCATTTTCTCCTTGATCTTGCTACTCTTGGAGGTTGGACACTCCTAGGTGGTAGGAGTTCTTTAGAGATAAATCATTCATTGTGATTACCCTTGGAAAGTTTGTGAAGGTTTGAAGACCACCTCAAGGTCTGCCACTTAACGCCTTCGTGGTGTTGCCTCAAGAAGAATAGAGTGAGCCTTCGTGGCGTTGATGTGCCTTCGTGGTAACATTTGCCCCTCCAACGGTGACTAACGGTGACTAGCTGCCCTCCAAGAAAGTGAACATGGGGATACATTATTCTCTTTGGAGTTTAGGTTATCCTTAACCCTAACTCTGTACTCATGGTTATTTGTCTATTGTCTTTACTTATATGATATTGTGCTTGCTATCAGCTACTTCCGTAGGAGTTGTTAGTTTTTTCCGAAGAAAAATGGTGATGTAGCACAACACCACAAAAAAACATCCCTCAATTAAGAATCAATGTTTAATCGAACCAGTAAAGCCTTGAACGGAAATTAACCACACCCATGATAATCAATCACATAACGTATGTTTTCTCAAAAGAAATGATGCATGAAAAATATCTTTTTTGAACACAGTACAATTGGAGACACTCATATATACTAATCCTTATGAATGCACGCACGCACACACGCACATCCACCCCTATGAGCACCTTCGAGATACTCAGACGACACAACATTTTAAGATTGAAGAAGTCATCATAGGCTTCTCGTAGTCGACAAAAAAACCTTCTCCCATCGAACGAACATTACAGGAAAGTCTGAAATAAATTCAAAAAATGTGCATAACAATGTCAAATCTAGTCTGGAATTTAAAGTCTGGTGACATGGTTCCACCACAAGGAACCTATTCATTCATCTCAGCTAGTACGAGCTATGCTCAGTTCGCATCAAAAACATCTCTTGACATCGATTCGTTTTAGATGTCTTTGAATCGGATTTGGTAATGCTGTTAGGGCATCCATCCCCATGGACTCGGTAATCACGTTTTTCCTTGGTTCCATCCGAAATCATCAAATCTGCGCCCTCCGTTCACCCAGCCAACGAATCCGAACCATCAAAACCTATCGCTTCCGCCGGCCACCCTCTCCATTTTTTTCGCTGAAAACAGCAGAGGGTTTTCCGCCCCCACCACCATCACCTTTGCTCCTCTGACCTACCCAAAGCTGCCGGCCGACCCAAAGGCGGCACGTGCCCTAGAGCCGCCGGCCTACCACAGCACCGCCCCCTTCCCCCCCGCGCCGCCGCCTCCATCGCCGTCCGCGTTCCACCTCTCCGCGTCCCCGCCGTCTCCACCCCGTCCGCAATCTCGGACATCCGTTCCGAGGTATGAGCTTCTCCACAAGTTTCGGGTGTGCCGGTGCACACCCCGCACGCCATCTGGATCCGCCGCCGGCCGGGAAGACATTTCGCGGTGTCAGCGTGACGCACTTCCTGAGGAAGAGGCGGTTCGCTGGTCGCCCTGGTCGATTCGAATGCTCCGCAAACTCGCGCCAATCTGGGCCCCGGCGCACCCCCAAGGACACCATGTACGACCTCCACCCCGAGATCTCGATGCTTTATGGAGAGGATAATGGCGCAGTTGCTGCCCCCAGCAAGGAGCAGGGTATCGGAAAAGCAATTGAGACCTTACCGCTAGCAGATGCTTCCATTGCGTACCGCTACAATGAGCCCCGGATTAAAGTCATAGGGGTTGGAGGCGCCGGCTCCAATGCCGTGAACAGGATGATTGAGAGCTCCATGAAGGGGGTGGAGTTCTGGATCGTGAACACTGATTTCCAGGCTATGAGGATGTCGCCCATTGACCCGGCAAATAGGCTGCCGATTGGCCAGGAACTGACAAGAGGTCTTGGTGCTGGTGGGAACCCAGAAATCGGAATGAATGCAGCCAAGGAAAGCCAGGAGTTGGTAGAAAAGGCAGTGTCTGGAGCTGATATGGTTTTTGTCACGGTACGTCCAGCTGCTCGTGCAAATCGTGCTTTTGCTGTTGCTTAATTGATGTAGAATTTGTGAATTGCAACACCTTGCTTGGCATCTAATATATAGATTTTAGAACATATCAGGAATTGATCTTATTTGAGAGTAACGATATCCTAGATAGACATGTTAAGTTGGAGTACTTATTCATTTACCCAAATATAATCATTTATGTGCCTTGACTGAAAGGAATATGATAATTGATATGCTCTATTGGTCGCCTTTGAATCTTCAAATTCATTTTACAGGCTGGAATGGGAGGTGGAACAGGCACTGGCGGGGCGCCCGTTATAGCAGGGATCGCAAAGTCTATGGGTATATTAACTGTTGGAATCGTGACGACCCCGTTTTCATTTGAGGGAAGAAGGCGGGCACTCCAGGCACAAGAAGGAATTGCGGCCTTGAGAAGCAATGTTGATACACTGATTGTAATCCCAAATGATAAGTTACTGACTGCTGTTTCTCCAAATACTCCTGTGACAGAAGCCTTTAATTTGGCAGATGATATTCTCCGGCAAGGTGTCCGTGGAATCTCAGATATCATCACTGTAAGATAATATGTTACTATGCTATGCCCCATGTTAGTTATTTTACATTTCACGAGTATGATTTCGAAGAAGTGGCATTTGCGTGTCTTAAGAAAATAAAGTTTGGTTTACAATTTACACACTCATGTAATTATGGATTAACAATCTCCCTTGACCATTTCCTTGTTTCACCATTTTTTTTATGTTCCAAAAGCATCACCTTCACACTATGCAGTGGGTATAATTATTATTAGTTTGTCTCTGGTTCCTAGTTCTATCCTGATCTAACATTATATACATTTCTTTGGAATATCCAAACTACATCATTGTATCTTAATTTTGACCGTTATCTATACCAAGTTAGCTGCAACAGGATAAAAGTAGAATTCCATTGTTGACTGACTATTGCACTTCGTCCCTCCATTGTTTCTAGCCAGAGACAAAATTCATTGTCTGCTTGTTATGCCATTTGCAATGCCAATTCATGAGTCTGAAAGTTCATCTTTACATAACATTCACTGCCTTTCTGCTTGTTATGCCATTTGCAATGCCAAGTCACTAGTCTGAAAGTTCATATATCTTTCACTTATGTTTTTGTCAACATACTCACTCTGACTAGAGTTGTCTGATATATGCAGCTTAAGATGTGATTTGTTGCTACCTTCTTTTGCTTGCAGGTGCCAGGTTTGGTCAATGTTGACTTTGCTGATGTACGATCAGTTATGTCAGATGCAGGTTCATCCTTGATGGGTATTGGAACAGCAACAGGTTAAATTTCAGGGAACCCTATTTGTTCAACGTCAAATGCTGCATGCACATGTATAATGCCTTGCATTCATCATATAGAGTTAATGCTTGTTGTGAAACTCCTAAGGATATTGTGCTAATAAGTACTCCCTCCGTCCGGAAAAACTTGTCCCAAGCTTGTTCCTCATATGGATGTATCTAGCACTAACTTGGTGCTAGATACATTCATTTGAGGGACAAGCTTTTTCGGACGGAGGGAGTAATAACATAAGTGGAATGTAGTTAATTACTTTATTTTCTTTTTACATATCTTCTTTTTACCTTTTCTTTGGGTCTAGGCCTTGTAAATATTGTTCTGTATCCTATGAATAAAATGAAGAGCTGTGTGGCGCTTTACCCGCAGTACATGGTAAAAAAAGAAGTCATGTGGCTAACCACAAGTTTCACTATTACTTTTACAGCAGTAAATATATTGCTGTCATTTTTATGTGGCTTTATGCAGTTATATTGACTCCTAATTGTGCTTAGACTGCATTTCTGGACATCAGAGCATGCCCACAGCCACACCAACAACCGCTTACCCTTCCCCCTTTTCTCCTGCTGTTTCTGTTGGCCTATCTGCAGGTAAGACACGAGCAAGAGATGCTGCACTCAATGCCATACAGTCTCCTCTACTTGATATTGGTATTGAAAGAGCAACAGGAATTGTGTGGAATATCACCGGAGGGAGTGACCTAACATTGACAGAGGTATCATATACACAATCTCTGTTAGACAGAACGGCTTGTAAAAGTTATATGCATTCTAGTTTATATCGTGACCAACATAGCAAGCTAATCAAATCTATTTGTTTGTAGTGGACAACTTTGGCAGCTAAGTTAGTTTAGAAGGCCTTATTCATTTGTAACTTTGAGCTTGCACTGAGCCTGCTGCTAACATGGAAGAACGCCACTAAAATTTTGAATTACTTTTGGCCTGAACCCCACTGGTCATCCTCTTTGTAGGTGAATGCAGCAGCTGAAGTGATATATGATCTCGTAGATCCTGGCGCAAATCTAATATTTGGGTCTGTCATAGACCCATCATATACTGGTCAGGTAAGTAATCAACGTCCTTCACAAGAGTCTTCTCGCCCAGAGAGATATATAAAAATTGCATTTACTTTTAATCAAGTAAACCATATTTTACAATTTAAAGACCGTTAAAACCCACCCTGGTAAACAAACGCATGGCATCATCGCACATGCTAATAACATGGAACCCCTTTCAGGTGAGCATAACCTTGATTGCAACTGGATTCAAGCGCCAGGAGGAAAGTGAAGTCCGACCCGCGCAGGTACACCCTCTTGCGTTCCACCGACTACTTTCTGCTCACTTCCGCGCCCAGTGTTCTAATGTAAATCCTGGATGCTCAGGCTGGAGGCGACGTGAACCGCGGCCGCAGCTCCCGGTTCTCTTCATCCTCCCAGGACGAAGGCCCGAAGCTGCAGATTCCTGAGTTCCTACAGCGGAAAGGGCGTTCGGGGTTTTCCAGAGGCTGAAGGCCCCCCAAGTAGTCTAGCTCATCTTTGCAGTGTCATAAGCTTCCCAGTTCTTGCAGTAGACTCTTAGTTATGCCTTTCTGCTTTGTTTCCTTCCGTTGCAAAAGCTTTAGGTGATAGACCGTGTGTGTGATAGCATTAGAGTGCATATGAAATCGTATCTTTTCATAGTGTAAACCATTCATGGCGGTCTCTTCTCAGCCATCATATGGCCCTGTTTGGTGCTTTGCTCGTTCCTGCGGGAAATAAGCCGATTCTTGTGAAATTCTCGTGTTCGCCCGGATGGCTGGGTTACATCGAGCCTTGATCTCGTGTTGTGTTCAAATAAGATCAGATGAAGAATTCAGGACAAGAGGTTGGTAGACGACGATGTCTTGAACCACTGTATGTAGCATTGTCTCGACATTTTCTCTTGCTTTGTCACGGCCCAAGTGTGCCTGAATCGTGAATCACATGGAAGGTGGTCGAGGCAGCTCAGCCCAGGCCAGGTGCCTATTTTAAGCCGCAACTGACGCGCACGCAACACGCGCAACTCATTGGTCCTTGCAAACGCGCAATTTTGCGCTGTCACGGGGGCTCATCCGCAAAGCGGCCACCCGTTAGACGGCGCACGAAAGAGGCAAATTTGACTATTTTGACCTGTGGACGAAATCAATTCACAAAATGAACTGCCCGTGAAACTATTTCACAGCACTGACCCTTTTGTGTAGCGCCCGTCTTGCAGGCGCCACACCCTACGGTGCAGCGCCTAGCTCGGGGGCGTTGCACGCCAGTCCACCGTGGCAATCCTTGGGCCCACACCCAGCAGTGCAGCGCCTCCTAGCTAGGCGCCGCACATGTAATGTGCAGCGCCTAGCGTTCGGGCGCTACACTGTGACTTATCCAGCGGCTGGGCCCCCCTCCCCCACTTCCCCCACCCCACACACCCCAACCCGAGCTTTGCCCCCTCTCCCACTCTCTCCCCCTCTCAAATCCTCTCCCAAAACTTGCAAATTTGAAGAATTTGTCCGTGGATTTCGAAGTCATACCCTCCCTCAAGGTAATCTTTTCCGATCCCTTGTTTTGATCCAAGTAATGCTAGTTTGGGAAACCCTAGTTTTGTTTGGATCTAGAGATTTGCATGGAGATGTGAGATCTTTGTTTGCCAATTTCCTATGATTAGGCTTTGTTAGTATGTTAGGGTTATTCTTATGGGTGTTCTTATGTTGGTGCTAGGGTTATGGTTAGGGTTATGGTTAGGGTTATTGTTAGGGTTATGGTTAGGGTTAGGGTTATGGTTAGGGTTAGGGTTAGGGTTGTTGTTTGATATATATATATATTAGGGTTTGTATTCCGTGTTAATCCTTAAATTAGTACTCATGGAAGCAATGTTACGATGTGTTGTTTGAATGCTTATAGGGATGGGAAGAACATGTGTGTTTGTTCATCATGGGGACAAAGACGCCTTCTTGAAAGGCAATATTGAACCGGATCCGGATGAGCTAGATATGTTGTTTGATAGTAGTCCTAGCTATGCGGAGCTCTTGCAACAAGTGAGGAAAGATTTGAATTGGATGGACCCTAGTGATATCATTGAGTTGGAGGGAAGGCATAATGTAGGTTTTGGAATGCACATCCGTTGGAAGACAATGTGTATCAACTCGGAGCAACGTTGGGTTGCATACAAGGAAACGGTGGCCGATTCACTTGACAAGGCTCTAGAGTTATTTGCAACGAAGAAGGTTGATTCAAATTTGCATTTGGACTTGAACCGGAAACCCTCCCCTTTGGTTGCTAGTAGCCCCCCACCCTTGAAGCGAGATGAAATTGTTGAACCTCTTTTGACCCAAGAAGTGAGGCCAACATTGAGCCCGTTTACAAACAACCAAGATGAGGCTTTGCAAGAGGACAATGATGAGTATGCAGACGATGACAATGAAGTTGATCTCCATGACAACAATGTGGGTGATCTTGACAAATATCATTTGCAAGAGACAATGGACCATTCCATCCCCTTTTCCCGTGCATATGCATCGGATTCGGATGACGAAGGTCCCGATGAACAAGTTGATGAGGAGGGGTTCACGGTGAAGGAGGCCGAAGCTTTCGAGAAGGTATTTGGTCGGGATCACAAGACACCATTGTTCAAGGATGTTAGTCTCGCGGATGAAGCCATTGTGGATGGTGGCAAATCTATATCTCTAGGGGTTAGGCCAAGCTCTCACCGTGATTTGGGAGACGACAAGAACCGGATTGGTAAAGGGTGTAAGTTCGAAACCTTCTTGGAATTGAAGATGTGGCTCGACAACTACTCGGTTACGCATTATCGTCCACACAAGGTGGTGCATTCGAACGTCAATGTGCGCTACACGGTTGCATGTGCATGTGAAGATGAAATATGTCCGTGGATTGTGCGTGCAAGACCATGGAAAGGAGGTCCCGCTTGGCACGTAGTGAGTTGTGTGCCAACTCACATGTGCCGAGGCAAAAGGGTGGATGGCAAGATTGTGTCCCAAGACCACAGACAACTCACGTCCGAGTTCATCGCTTACAGGCTCTCCAACTCAATATCCACACTTCCAACAATGAGCGTCCAACATGTCATTGACCTTGTGAAAGCCATCTTTCATTACAAGGTGAAGTACGGCAAGGCATGGAAGGCGAAGCAAGCCGCATTTAAGATGTTGTATGGTACTTGGGAGGAAGCATACAACCGAATCCCTAGGTTGTTGTTAGCCATGGCCGCCACAAACCCGGGCATGGTTCATGTTGTCGAGCCTCATGGGCACCAAACAACGGTTTATGAAGGAAAGAAAGTCCGAGTATTTGGCCGTGCATTTTGGGCGTTCGAGCAATGCGTGAGGGCTTTCAAACACTGTAGGCCGGTCATCTCCATTGATGGCATGTTCTTGACCGGACAATACAAGGGCACCTTGTTGGTTGCGATAGCAAGTGATGCCAATAATCGGGTGTTGCCATTGGCATTTGCTTTGGTTGAGGCGGAGAACAATGACAACTGGGAGTGGTTTATGCGTCTTTTGAGGACGAAGGTGTTACCCGCTCAAAGGAAAGTTTGTGTCATATCGGATCGGCATGCAGGAATTCTTAACGCAGTGGAGATTGACATTCCCGGGCATGCTCCGTTGCACCATCGATGGTGCATGAGGCACTTTTGTTCGAACTTCTATAGGGCATGTGGCCTTAAGGAGTTGGCCGATGATCTTCAAGATTGTTGTCTTGCTTTCTCCGAGAAGCGGTTCGCCACTTTGTTGAACAAATTGCTCGCACATAAAAAACTTGATCACGGGGGTCAAGACTTTATGAATAGGCACATTCCCCACCGGAACAAGTGGGCACGTGCTTTTGATGAAGATGGCCGAAGATACGGTCAAATGACAAGCAATATGGCCGAATGCTTCAATAGGGTGCTCAAAGGTGCACGTGGATTACCCGTGACGGCAATAGTTCAATACACATTTGACAAGATGAATGCGTACTTTCTAAAGTACTCAATGGAAACTGATGCACAGATAGCGGGTGAGAACCCGCGCAAGTACAAGTACAAGTTCCCACCCAAGGTTGATGAATGGTTAGAATTCCAATCACGAAAGGCGGACTCAGAAGAAGCTATATTATATGACAACGAAGAGTGGAAGTATGAAGTGAAAGAGCCAGGAGGAACCACAAACGATGGCCGGCAACATGGAGGTCGGGCTTTCAAGGTGTCGTTAACACAATGTGATTGCTCTTGCGGGAGGCCATTGTTGCTTCATCTCCCATGCTCACATTTGTATACCGCCGGTCGCGTTAGAAATGTGGACATCAATCACCCACGCACCGTGAGGGAGTTGGAGTTCTCAATCATGACGGTCAAGAAAACATGGGCTCCCCACTTTCACCCATACTTTGACCAATCACAATGGCCGGAGTACCATGGAGTTCAACTATGGCCGGATCCGGAGTTGAAGGTTGTTAAACGTGGTAGACGTAAAACAAAGCGTTTTAGAGGCGACATGGACGGATGGGGCCATGGTGGCCGCCGCGAAGCGGGAAACAATCAATTCCAAGAGCCTCGTGAGAGCTCCCGTTGTGGGGAATGCAAAGGTCATGGCCACAACAAAAGAAAATGTACGAAACCAAGGAAAAGGTCCAAGAAAAATGATGCAAGCACTAGCCAACAAGGAGCTACACAAGGGAGCCAACCAAGTGGTAGCCAACAAGTGCCAAGCCAACCAAGAGGTAGCCAACAAGTGCGAAGGCAACAACGTGGTAGCCAACAAGTGCCAAGGCAACCAAGTGGGAGCCAACCTAGTGGTAGCCAACAAGTGCCAAGGCAACCAAGTGGGAGCCAACCTAGTGGTAGACAACAAGTGCCAAGGCAACCAAGTGGGAGCCAACCTAGTGGTAGCCAACAAGTGCCTAGCCAACAAAGTGGTAGCCAACAAGTGCCAAGCCAACCAAGTGTTAGTCAAAGAGGATCTAGGCAACAAAGAGGTCGGCAACTAGGGCTTACAAGAGGCCGTGGTGGTGGTAGTCTAGGCCGTGGTGGTGGTAGAGCTCGTGGTGGTGGTGTTGGACGTGGTGATGGTCTTGGCCTTGGTGATGGACTTGGCCGTGGTGATGGACAAGGGCAAGGTCGTTATAGAGGAATGTTTGGATACCTCGATGGACCATTTCCGTATGTTGCTCACTAACTATAATGTTTCAAATGTTCTTGTTTTCCATATGTTCTTTTTTTTCATATGTTCCATTTGTTTGTATTGTCTTTACTAACCATTATGTTTCACTCATTGTAGGTATGGCGGCTTCCCAACCCAACAAACCAACAATGAAGGAGGATGGCGAAGATGAGATGGCGGGATGGTGGGAGAAGGCTGCGAAGAAGCTTAGAGAGGAGGATGCAGCCAAGCTAAAGAAGAAAAAGGAAGAGGAGCTTGAGGAGAAGAGGAAGGAAGAAGAGAGAGCGTCAAATGCGATGCGCGCTAGGGAGCAAGCATTGGTGAGGAAATGTGAGGAGGCACGGAAGAAGCGTCAAAAGGATTTTGAAGAAGGAACCATGAAGCTTTGGGCAATTGCAGCTGAAAAAAAAGAGAGGGAGGAAAAGATATTCATGAAGAGGGTGGTTAAGGAGGCCCACCTCATAAGGAAAAGGGAGGAGGAAGAGGAAGAAGAGAAGAAGAAGAAGAAGGGAAAGGGGCCTTGCTCTACGCAATAGAGCTATGTCATCTTCAACTTGCTTGTGGACGATAATCGTGTTATCCTCTAAACTATGCTCTTCGATTTGGTTGTGAACTAGTATGTGTCATGAACTACTATCTCTCCTCTTCGATTTGGTTGTGATCTACTATGTGTCATGAAGTACTATGTATTATGAATTAGTATGTGTCGTGAAGTACTATGTGTCGTGAAGTACTATGTGTCGTGAACTACTATGTGTCGTGAAGTACTATGTGTCGTGAACTACTATGTGTCACAGTTCTTTGCTTGCTATGTGTCGTGAGCTACTATCTCTCCTCATCGGAATATGTGTGCGTGTGCCCAAAAATTTGCTAAGTACAGGTGCAACACCCAGTAGCTAGGCGTTGCACTGTAGAGTGTGGCGCCTCGGTGCTAGGCGCTGCATGGGCTGTAGCTTGCAAACAGAATCATTATCAGGTAAAGATGAGGAAGGGAGAGGGGGACTTGGTGCACCCAGAGGGTGATTGTCATGGTTCAGAGTTCAATGTGGTTGAGCAGGGAGTTGAGGTCACCCTCGAGGATCCAGACCAGTTCAAACATGTCGAGACTGCCAATGTGAATGATTAAGATGAGGGCTTTAATGGTGAAGCTAATGAAGATCAAGTTCAACATTATTAAGACAACAAGTGCAACATAGAGGATCAAGTTCAACATTGCTAAGACGTCAACTCCAAGTTCAACATAACTAAGACATACAAAGAGGATCAAGTTTAACATAGAGCTACCACAAATAAAGGACTATGGCTGGTTCCTAAGAAGAGCTAGTTCCTTGAGCGCTTTTTGGCTGCTCCCCCCCTCTTGCTGGCTAACTTCTTGACCTTCCTAGGAAGAGGAACACGCTCCCGCTCCGGCTCCGGTTCCTCCACGTCATCGACATCATCATCCAAATAGTCATCCAAAGCCGCCATCCGCGAGGTGCCGACCGTCCTTTTGCCTCTTTCGGTGAAGTCTTCAGGTGTGTACTTGTTGATTCCCTTTCTAGGCTTTAGTATGTATGCAGACCTAACCTGGTACGCCCCCAAGGTCATATCATCATCAGCAACCTATGCATCAACAAAAGATATGGAAAGACCGTGTGTAAGGATATAGTTAGCAATGCATCAACAATTGGATATATATGCTCATGCCATACCTCTTGGGTGACCACACCCACATCCTCATCCTCCAAATGATCACCATGGCTCTGGCCCGAAGCGGGATCTGATGGTGTCGCCGACCTAGACTGTTCTGGTGATACATACTCGGAGTCACGACAACCAATAAGGTTTGATAGCCGCCTTAACTTTTGGCCCTGGCGCTGCAACATGTACAAGTGAATGAGACATCGAACGTAGCAACACATGTTAAGTGCTAGTTTGAAGGAGATGTGAACCTTGATGAATGCTCGAAGTGCACCTTCTCCATCGCTTTTGCCAGCCGGGGTTGTTTCAAGAATAGTCTCGGTCTCATCAGCTGCTTTCTTGATCTGGGCACGCTATGAACAGAAATGGTATTAACGTGTTAGGCAAGCGAAGATGTGAATAGTGTGAATGAAAAGCAAAGAGGGCAAATACCACAAAGTTCATCATTGGAGCTGAAGGGATCACTGAGTTGCCTTTCCTGACTAATGCGTTGTACTGGTGTTGGGCTACCTCATCAAAAACAGTGGGTTCTTCTAAAATCTCCTCAGCATACGCCGGCTTGCATACCTCCACACGGGTACTTGCAAGAAACCATGTGAGATAGTTGTTGAACGCTACAGGGCAGTGCTAAGCTGGACTCCTTTTCCAGCCCTAGCTTGCTCCACACTAAGTGCAAACTGTACGACATACTTTCTGTGATGCTTGGCCCAATCCTTAATCTTCCGCTGCCTTTTCCTATCCAACCTGCAAGTTAGAAACATACTATTAGTAGCATCGAAACCGCCGAGAAGCTGCTAAGTACTCAAGGTTAATTATATCTTACGCGTGTAGCAACTTGTCCGTGTCCTCCCACTCCGGCGGATGTGCATGGAACAAACCAAACTGACGGCGCACTCGATGTGGGAGGTGAAGCTCAACCGCCCAGTTGCATATGAGTGGGTACCGCATACGCCAGAGATCCCTATCCCTAGTGCACATCGGATTCAGCCTGAACTCTAAAGGGTTACCAAACTATCTCCTGTTCCATACGGCTCCCATATCACCTGCAAAATGGGATAGAATGCAAAATTGATATCGAGTTGCAATAGAAGCATCATAATCACTTATGCCATGTCAATTCACCTGCTCAGGCGTGATCACGTCAAGCTCACTCTGGTACAACTTGTACATGACCGAGGGATCATCTGTCGTCGCATTTATCACATCCCACTTGTAAGCCCAAGTGGGTAGCCGTAGTAGGTCGCCTTTGTCGTCCCAATCATCGTACTTCACCTTCTTCGGACGTCCAACCGGCAAACGCTCCCAGCTCCATATGGAAAGTGCGAGCAAACAACCACCAATACCTCCAGATGACCTACAACAGGCTTCGTCCAACTGCACATAAAAGAGAACATGGTTCAATTAAGAGCAAGATCGCATTCATAATGTAGCAATGAAGTGAAAAAGAAACAACTTCATACCTGTCTATACAAGTAAGCCAGTGTCGCCGAACCCCAACTCCATTTGCTATTGAAGACGGTCAACGCCTTCAGCCACATCCATGGAGCATTCTTGCCTGTGCCATCAGCAAACATAGTCCTGGATATCACATACCACATGTAGACACGAGCATATATCTTGACCGTGTCCTCACCAGCTTCCGGTGGGCAAGTACCAAAGTGCTCAGTACGTGAAAGTAGCACCGGTTGCGACTCTTTCCTTCTTCTTGTTTTCTGCTGCTGGTTCCGGAGGCTCCGGAGGAAGCATACCGATAAGGGCATGCATCTGCGCGCGCCACCCATCGGAGCCGGTGCTCATACATAGAGGATTCCCATTGATAGGAAGACCGGTGATCATAGCAATATCCTGGAGCGTCACTGTCATCTCCCCGGTCCGTAGATGGAAACTATGTGTCTCCGGCCGCCAATGATCAATAAGCGCGGTGAGTGCTGGAGCATTGTTGGGTGGCGTCGACCGTCTGACCATATGAATGAAAGGGAGAAGTCCTGTCTCCCTTACATACGGTGTGTATCGCTCATCATAGCGCATCCACCCAAGGGTGACCCCGTGAGAACGAAGCTTCAAAGGTGCAAGCGCCTACAAACAAACAATTCATAACATTACATATGGAGCATTTGTGTTTGAAATAAATACAAAATTCATAAAACAGGCCACTTTCATTATTACCCGCTTCTCCACCGCCATAACGTACGACTGGTGTTGTTTGTCCCAGTGATCATCGAGAAGCCAAACCATCCTAACAATTTTGAAAGAAAGCTTTCTTGTCAACACGATTATCTTTTCAATACAAATAAACTAAAGTACGCCTACTAGATGCAAAATACAAAACATATGTATCCAAACCATTCTTACCAATACAAATGTAATTTCAATAAACTAAACTAAGCCTACCTCATGCAAGATTCAATACAAATATCTTTTCCATATAAATAAAATGTCAACCTATGTATCCAAACTATATAAATAACATGTCAACCTATGTATCCAAACCACATTCTAGTCTAACAAGGGTTCCCCAAATCTAATACATGCAAGATTCAAACAAAAATTCCCTAAATCTAATATACACAAGATTCAAACAAGGGTTCCTCAAATCTCCGAAATAGCATACATTTTATGGATAGAAAGAAGGGGATCGGAGAAAAGTACCTTCTAGGATGGATTGGTGAAGGAATCCACGGGCCAAATCGTCAGATTTGAAGATTTTTTAAGAAGGGATTGAGAGGGGGAGAGGATGAAGCCGCCGGTCGCCTGTTCTG